CTCCTGTGGGTTCAGCGTGAGGCTGCCTGAGGAGGGGCACCCAACAGCTGGCCCTGGTCTCATGAAGACTGCTTGGAGCACAGCTCACACCACTGTCCCTGGGATCACTGAGGACCCTGGATCCCTGGTGTGGTGAAGGTGACCTTGAAACAAGCTTGGTGTTTATGAAAACAAGGTCTGTGATTTTTAGAGCTCTCCTATGAGTTCAAATTCAGCATTTCTTGAGCTTGCCAAGTTCTAAACAAATCGCTGTGGGAGGATCAGACAACGCGAGACCCTCGTCTCTGCAACACGAAGCAGAGAGCTTCGGAGACTGACCAACATCAACAGGATTCAGAGTGTGTCTTGAAAGGAAAGCAATTTGTGACGACTGCACGACGTTGGCGATCCTGCCGTGGCGTCCCGGAGACAGAGCTCGCCGGGGCGAGGCTGGGCGGAGGGACTCTGTGCTCCGTGCAGTGGAGCAGAGACCTGAGGTCAAGGAACGGCAGGATGCGAAGACCCAAATTCCAGCAGAATAAGCAAATGTCCAACTAGATCCATCCTCCTGGACCACAGAGACTGCCTCCTTCTCATCTTTGTATTCCCAGGGTTTGGCTCAGAGTGGACACTCACAAATGTTGGAGGATGAGAACAGATATTCCACAGTTTTTAACAAGAAAGATTTCTGAGTTAATGTTCTTATATGGAGAGGTGTGCATAAGGACATATGTAGGCATAGTATATACCTACCTGAGTACACATATGTGGATATAGTCAATAAATGTATAAATTTGGCTTATTTTATACGACAGTGACTGACTGACTGGTACAGCATGAGCTACTGAGGAACCAGTTGTCCTGTGTGTGTCTCTTTACCATTAATGGTAAGAACCAGTAGCCACTGACGTCCTCTGAGGATGAGTCCAACACGTACATTCTACGTGAAGAAGAGCCAAGCATTTATTTCCAGGATGACTAAGCATGTACGCATGTGTGTAAGTTTATTTTATAAGGTCATGTAATTTATAGGAAATTATATCTGGATTAAGACTGATTATACTGCACTAAAGAATCATTTACTGGTTCAATTTGCAATCCCATTTTCCACCAGTTCTTGCTGTGAAATTCTCTAAGGAGCTGCTTTGCCTGTACCTGTCAACAGAGTTGTCTGAGGAAGTGTGGTCATAGCTGCCATCCAGAGCCGCAGACTCCTACCCTTCGAGAGCAAAAGGCGAAGATACCTTCCAGAAACCTAGAACCTTCTCAACACACTGCACTTGAATTCGTACATCATCTGAGTCCTCGAAACTTGATGGAAATTCATACTTTTTGAGAATATTATTTGCCTTTTGAGAGTGCGTATAATATCACAATCAGTCTCTTTCGTTTTCTGGTATTAGGAGCAATAGGAAAAGTTCAAGAAAACTCAAATAGTAAAATGCTATCCCTCTATTTTTTTTTTGGTGAGGATGATTGGCCTTGAGCTAACATGTGTTGCCAATCTTCCTCTTTTTGCCTGAGGGAGATTGTCGCTGAGTTAACACCTGTGCCCATCTTGCTCTATTTTTCGTGTGTGGAATTCTGCCACAGCGTGGCTTGATGAACGCTGTTTACGTCCATGCCCAGAATCTAAACCTGCACGCCCTGGGCTGCCGAAGCAGAGCCCGGAAACTTAATCCGCCCACCACCAGGCCAGCCTCTATCTTTTTTTTTAGTGAGGAGACGATAGAAACCAAGTTCTACAGAATAGTGAGCTAACGTTTATTCTTGGAAAATTTTCTAAGCCTAATATTAAGCATGTGGTTTGAGAGGCAATTTTTTTAAGCGCAATTATCCCTCGGGGCCAATATAAGCTTTCAGAAGCACAAAATCCCAAAATAAAGTAATAGGCCTTTTTAATGGTGATTCAGAGTGATCACCCTCTATGCAAGAGTCTTCGTGAGGACACTGCCCTACTGGAACTCACAGCGGCCCGGAGGGTGTCAGCTTCCTTGCTGAGCCGCCTTCACCTCTGTTCTGGTCCCTCCGGTTTCCCCTCTTCCTCGGCTCTCCTTCCCCTGATGATTTCTACTTTCGAGAACTCCAATACCCTGTGAAATAGTGGTGATGTTTTGAAGCTGTTACGTCATGGGTTTGTCATTCTCTCTCTTTATGCATCATGAACATAACGGCCATTCTGCCAGTACAGTCCAAGGGGAAAGGAGGAGAGTGAGGGACACTTGGGCAGGGCGGAGTGCCAGGAAGGGTTCCTCAGGGAGCAACAGCGAGTGGAATTCCTGCCCTTTTGGCCTTGGTGGATGACGGAAGGAGAAAAGAGACAGAGAGCCGGCAGAAGGCTCAGACTTGCAAGCCAACACTTCAGTGGCAGAAATACCCACATGGGTAGAGGAAAGGCTGGGATCACTCTGGGCCGACAGCATGTCTGGGATGCAGCCGCATCAGCCTGGAGAAGGAGCCGCAGCGCAGCGCTGGTGGAGGGCAGCGGTCAGACAGAGCACGTGAGGAGGCACGTGCTTCAGGGCCTGCACAGGACACACACTGTAGCTGGAGGTTTCCACGTGCTGTGTTGAGGGACTCTGAGACCTGGCATGAAGATGAAGCCATTGTGGACGCTGGGTCCACTGTGTCCTGTGCAAGGTACCAGGATGATGGCCAACGACCACACAGGTACATGTGACACTCAGATCTTGTCTCTCCACCACAACAAGTCACATGAACCTCATACCCCTCATGTCAAGATGCCACCTTGACAGGAGCAGTGGGTGGCAGGTAAAATAAAAAGATGGAGCAGGTCCCTGAAACACACTAACCCAGGAGATAGCGAGGTCATAAACTGTCAAGCTTAACGTTGATTTCCCCTTGTGTTAAAAGATAAATTTTTTTAAAGATAAAACCATGACTGTCGTGTGTTAAAGATTTTATTAACTCAAGTTATGCGGAAACTGTAAGATTTTACAGCCAATTCAAAGGAGAATTCAAACACATCCATATTTACAGGCCATCAGGAAGACTGAAATGACTACCAAAAATTGGTCAATATCCACAGGGTGGTAATTAACTGCATCTCCACCAGACTCAATTTGCAGATGTTTATATTGCTATCAGTATTCCACAACTTACAGAGTTATAAAATAGCTCAAAGTCAACGAAAGGCAACAATAACCCAGAAAGGTGTACCAACCATCTGTTTTGCTCATTCCAGAGTCTTTCACGATTTTCCCCGATATCTGCTGCCAAGTAGTGGGGACTCTTGCAGAAGTTCAAATCAGCTACGGGAATTGAAGTTGTATGTTCTTTGCGTAGTTCAGAAGTGATGTGTACATTTTGCAACTCTCTATGAGGTCACCTTCCGGGGACACTACGACCGTCTGCCACCAGCACCGTCTGGCTTATCCCTCCCAGGTGTTCTGTAGAGCTGGAGCTGACGCCCTGAGCCGCAGACTCGGCACCGGAAGCGCTCCTGTGCAGGGCCGTCTAAGCCAGCGCCACCAGGGTCTGGACTTGGAGGAAGTGAAAACTCTTCTCGCCAATGGGAGCCAACCCCACTTATGTGACAGACCCGAAGCCATGCTCCAGGGCTCGTGTCACCCGGGAGAGTGGCCCTTTAGGTTTCCTCTGGAGCCCCTCCCCCTCGGACTCCCATGAAAGATCTTGTGGGTCAGACCAAAGGGGCAGCTGAGTGACAGGAAATGGTCATTAGGGCCGTATTTCCATCCCCCAACAATCGCGAAAGCTTCCCTTTGGTGATTCTGGCCTATCGCCTGTCTGTCCACCCATCCGGTCCTCCGTTGTTCACACCAGCCCAGGCCCCGCTAGGCTTCAGGCAAAGAAGCAGAGCTCCCTAAATCCTGTCAGCTGACACCTTTCCAGGAAATCCCATCTCCCAGTCCAGGGAAACAGCATGGTGTCTCGGGGAAGCAGCAAGACGCAAGCTTCCTCTCTCCAGGCAAATTGTCATCCTCCATGAAACAGGAGGATGTGGCCTCACCACCTCTTGACCTGCTGGGCTCCACCACGTGGCTGGGTCTCAGGTTCAGGCCAATTGCTGGCAACACATGCTCTCTCCCTCCTACTTACACTCTTGTTTCACTTCCGCGTCAGTCATTAAGGCAAACCTTACATTTTAGTCCTTTCTGGTTGGTTTACTAGTATAATATCACCCTTTATCCTATTATAACCAATATTATGTCATAATCCTAACTTATTTATAACCTGATGAACCTGGCTCCTTTGACGATAATTGTCTCATTCTTCTCTCACTACACACTGGTCATGAATGATCTCATCTACTCCTTGGTTTTTATCACTTTCTTCTCAACTCCTGATTGCCTACTGGGTTTTTCTATTTTGTGATTTATAGCTGGGGTTACTTACAATATCAAACCCAACCACATCGACCTCCCGTAGCATCTGCTCCTCTGATTCTGAGCATCATCTTTGTGACAGGCACAGCGTCCCAGCTTCCCAGCGTGATCATAACCTGGGCCCTTCCAGCTTCCTGTTGTTCCACAAACATTGTTCTTTGTCATGCCAGCGCTTCGGCTGGAGACATAAAGAAGACGGAACGCCCTCCAGAAGTTCAAACCAGTGTATAGGAATTGAAAAGAGACATATTCAATTCAACACATGGAATAACTTTCTTAAAACTTTTGTTTCCAAAGTTAAATAGGCTATTGCAGGAAACAGTGAACTTTCTTGTCCTGTGCTGTTCAAGCCAGGCTAAAAGCCCATCGTATTGGGGCGGGAGAGGACAAATAAAGAGCCTCTAGGCACTGATGCTTTCGGTTACCTGTGGGGACTGTGAAGAACCAGCTCCAGCCACAGCAAGATGGAACCCTGCAGCTGCCTCCTTCTCCCCGTCTAAGGGGAGGGACCCTGGCTGAGGAGCGGGGGAGATGGTAACCGGAGGAGGCGATGAAAGGAGACGTCCTCGATCCTTTCCAAAGGACTAAAAAAGTCCAAAGAACATTTCTGTTTGGAAGCCAGGATTTAATTCACATCATTAAACAAATATTTACCTGGTGCTGGCGATGTGAGTAGTGAAGACAGAATGGGAGGCTGTGCCGAGGGCACAGCACGGAAGAGCAGAGGAACGACGAGCAGGAGCTCCCTCGGGCCGCCAGCGCGGTGCTGTTCACACTTAGGTTACTCTGGAAAAGTCCTGCTATTTAATTTGAGGATTAGCAAAACCGCAGTCTCTGTCCTGCTCCTTCAAGTTAGAGTTACAAGCTCGTCTTTCAGGTCTTGTGCTTGTGGCGTAATGGAGCTGGTGACGCGGCTCACAGGCCTTTGCCACCTGCTGCGGGAGGAGGTGTGTGTGCCTTCTCCGGCTGCTCTGGATATAATGTTACTTCCCCCAGGACAAGGATTACCTTCAGATTTGCTCCAAGTCTAGCACAGAGCCAAGTATATTAAATGCTTGTAAAGATGTTCGTAAAAATGACAAAGGGGACTTTCCTTCGTGCAACACTTGTCATGTTTCCGTCTTATTCTAGTTACAGGTGAAGAACAAAGTGTTCACTCAACTCTTGTTCCAGTTTGTACGGATGACAAAAAATAGACGTAGAGACATAAATGTTTGACTGGTCGTACGTGAAGAACTCTTATCTGGAAAGGAAGATGATGACCCTAATGATTAATTCACTGAGGAAACACATGAAATGAAGCAGATTCTCATCTGCTGTTTCAAATCTTGCAACGGGGTGGGGGGGCGCTCCTAACCGTTGTGTCAACCAGGAGGTTTACGGCTTCTCAGATGAGATGTTGACGATCGCGACTGTTTCCCAGCAGGCTGTAACCACGGATTTCTACCAAAATAGGAGATGAAGATGTCCGCCTCTGTGGCTGATTTGTGCACGATCCCAGCATCTCTCCTGCCATTGTTTCTTCACGTACAGCCTGGCTGTGATGACCCTTGTGTCAGGCTACCTCCTGCAGTATCACTAAGGTCAGCAATATGACGTTAGCAAAGGATATCGAGCTCTCTGTCGTCTGCTTCAGAGGAAGGAAGCCTGAGCCGCCAGCGACGCGACTCAGCTGGCATCACTGTGGGCCCCGGCAGCAGAGGAGCTACAGACCCTGGTGAGCAAGGCAGATGAGGCTCCCAGGCCTGCACCCGGTGACTCGGAAGCCCGCCTTGACGCATGAGACACAGGGAATATTGGTTGGTGCCCGCTCAGGTTTCTCTGCTGCCTCAGTCCTCCCAGCCACCCTGCTGGCTTACGTTGACCTCAGGGCAAAACCGTGAATGTGGAGTAACTCCTGTTGCACCCTTCCCATCTTCTCTCTCTGTATGCCCTTTCCTTGCAGGTGGTGCCCCCAACTAGGACCAGGTACATAATTTTGGGGGCCGAGTGCAAAATGATACTACAGTGTCTTTTGTTCAAAAATTAAGCATTTCAAGATGACAACAGCGGAACATTAAACCAAGCATGAGCCCTTTGAGCCCTTTTAGGTGGGGTTGCCTGTGCAAACGCATTGGTCTCAGGCCCATGAAACCATCCTGCCTCCCACTCCTCATCAATGGCCTCAGTCTCCTGACACCTAAGCCTCCATAGGAAGCCTCGCCCTGGGGCTCTAGGGGAGCTGCCTTCCTGCAGCGCCCATGGAGCCTTCCTCCAGAACCCTGCCCTCGCCCCACTCAGGGGGCTTCATCTGTGATGACGTGCTGCTGCCAACAGCGCGATGCTGAGTAGCAAGGAGCATGCACCAGGACCCAACGCCGAGCCCCCTGCGGAGGAGTGTGAGGCTCCAGGACAAGCTTCCAGGGACGTATGCAGACCTTTTCAGTGACACGCCCCTCGCCTTTCCCATCTGTGGCTTGGCCATGCCTGTCAGGGTGTTTGTGGTCCACACGTCTGTCTCATGTTTACTGAGCACCTGCCATCCGACAGGCTCCGTGCCAGGGTCTGGGAACCCAAGGGTGAAGGGGGTCCTCCCCAGGCTGTGAGGAGCTCCCGGCTCCTGGGGCCGGCAGCCGCAGAGGAGACCCTCGCAGAGCAGTGACCAGGGGGAGAGATGAAGCATTGCAACGACGTTGGAGAAGGAAGTGCAGGCGGTGAGGGGGACGGCATCAGAGAGTTTGTTTATTTTCAACCTTTCTAAGAGGTGAAAGCTGAGCCATTACAGCACAGATGTGCAGAGGCACAACTGATTTTATTCCTAAAATTGACTCAGTGTCGCTGTAAACCTCACAGTCTGCTCACGGGGGGGCCTGGTTCCACCCCACTCAGTGTCCCAAGGGGAATCGCAACAGGCTGCCCCCAAATATCCTGCTTTGGCGTGTGGATTATTTGAGCTGAAGGCCCCTGAGAAACAGCAGATGCAGGCAGGGTTCTCTGAGCTCCCCCTTTCCGCCCCAAAACAAGGAATAAATTCCCCACAAAAAGACGTGCCTTTGCTGTGGAGGGAAGAGGAGAACATTCTCACCATGGGAGTTGGGGAGGCGACGCCGAGACAAATGGTACTAAATGCCCCGTCTTCCGTTAGTTTCCCTCAGACATCTATAGCTTCCCCAGCATCCCCCACCCCTGGAAGCCCCAGCCTCCTTCTCTCCACGTCATCACGTCTCCACAAGCTGCTGTGCTTTGCTGAAATGGCGTCTAAGTTCTCAGGCCGAGCTGTTTCTCTGGGTCTTCATTTCTCTTCTGCGGAGGCCCCTGTGCCGCGTGAGAACGTCAGCATCAGGTAGAAAGTGCACTTTCCTCCTGCGAATCTGTCCTTATCAGTTTGTCTCGGGCTGAGCCACTAACCTGGGAGGGCAGAGAAGTCCCTCCCTCCCTGGAGTGCTCAGTCTGGGGCCGGACTCTTCCAGCCACGTTCGTGTGTTTTATTTCGGTCACCGTCAAGCTCCAGCATAACCCTTCTGGGGTAAATACCCAGTTAAGTGGAGGTTCTGCCCAGGCCCTCTGCAGTGGCCCCTCTCTCTGAGTCTCTGTGAGGGGGGACAGGGAGCGTGTGGTCCTGTGACAGGGACGGCCACTCTCCAGAGCCCCACTCACTGCCCACTGCCCTATGTCCTCTTCGGATGCCGGGCTCTCTCCTGGTGGCCTGGCGGTCACAGTGCAAGATCTAGGGAGGTACCAGGGTCCCACCCTGTTGGCAACCTCAGGCTCCCCGGTCGTGGGACCTGGTCCTGTGCTCTGGCCTCACCTGAGTGTGGAGCTCGGTGCAGCTGCTGTGGGTCCACTTCCCTCCCTCAGCTGCCCAGCCCCGCGGGTGGAGCGCCAGGCCCATGCCTGCTTCTCTGCAAGGCCTGCAGCCCCTCCAGCTATCCCTCGGAAAGCCTCTCTAGAATGTTCTAGAACAGTCTCATGTTCCCTGTCCCTGCTTCCCACCAGATTCCAACCTGATGCAGAAGCCAGAGGATTCTCTCTCTGGCCTCCTCCCAGCCCTCTGTCCATGCAGCCTCCTTAGTGCTTCTCTCCTGCTGTGGGAGGGAGTTTCCTCACATCTGAATTCTTCCCCTATCTGTGATCTGCTCTGTGGGGGCCCTCTACATTTATTTTATTTTATTTTACTTTATTTATTTATTTATTTATTTGGTGAGGATATTGGCCCTGAGCTAACATCTATTGTCAATCTTCTTCTTTTTCTAAATTCTTCTCCCCAAAGCCCCCTAGTACATAGTTGTATATTCTAGTTGTGGGTCCCTCTGGCTCTGCTATGTGGGACGCCACCTCTGCATGGCCTGATGAGCAGCGCCATGTCTGCACCCAGGATCTGAACTGACGAAACCCCCGGCTGCCGCCCAAGGGGAGCGTGTGAACTCAACCACTCAGCCACCGGGCCGGCCTCCCACGTTTAGTTTCTCCATATGTAGAAAGCAGGCTGTGAGGGTTCTCGGAGAACTCTGTCTCCTGAAAGCTTGATTTTCAAGACTATTGTCTTCCCTGAAGTTTAACATCCAAACTCAAAGTGAGCAAACAGCTTTTTGTTACAGCTGTTTGTGTCCTCTTCATGCTGTGAAACCAGAAACCAGGGGCCAGGTCTTCATAGTATAAAGGCTACTGAGGAAAAAGTCTGAAGTACTGGGAAAAAGGAAAAACAAATCTGTTCCAGATGCCATACTATGTGAAGGAGCTAGAACTTTATCCTGTAAATATGAGATGCCCCTGAGGGAAGGGAAACAGACGGGGTGACCCTCTGATTGTTCCAGATTTCTGCATGGAGGCCATTTCCAAACCACAGGAAGCGGGGCTCAGGCAGAGCTGAGTGGTCTGTCTGCCTGGAGGACACAGATGTGGGAGACTGAGGAATCTGTCATTTGTAGGCCAGAGTTCCAGAGAGGCAGGAGTTAAACAAGAGCTCCAAGGATCCCCTGAGGCCTGAACACTAACTCCCCTTGTCTGAACACTGATCTGCTCGTGGTGGGCTGGATTGCCATTAGAACCACTGCCCGTGTACTAAAGCTGAACACCTTCCTGAGCTCATACACATCTGGGAGAAATTTGAGCCCCTACCAGCTAGAAGGAAGGGGCTCCTGAAACACCCGGTGCGTTCTGCAGAAACTACAGAACGGGCGCGTCTCAGCAGTCAGGATAAGCGAGCTCCAGAGTAAAGACTATTGTAGACCCTTCCTAACAAAGCTTAAAAATGGGTCTCCAAAATCAAGTTAATAACAAGTAACTTAATCGCCTGCCAAATAATGTTCAACTGTCTTCAAAGGAAGACAGCAAAATCCAAACACTCAACAGCATAGTATTAATACTGTGTGACATTCAATGAAAAATTATTAGAAATGCAAAATAACACGAGAAAACCTATAGCCAGGAAGAAAATCAGTCAATGGAAACAGAGCCAGCTCAGGTGACTGAATTAGCAGACAAGAATGTTAAAACAGCTCTTTAAATACGCTCACATATTTAAAGGAAAATATAAACACGATGAGTGTTTCAATAATCACAATAAATAAAAATGGTCTCCATTTTACATTTGGATTGTGCATTTATATACACTTCATTTAAAAGGCAGAAATTGCCAGAATAGATGAAAAGCAAGATTCACACAAGCTGCTACAGAAAATACCCTTAAACATAAAGACAAGGATAGACTGAAAGTAAAAGGATGGAAAAAATTATACTATGTAAACACTAATCCCAAGAAAGTTAGAATAAGTAATGTGAGATAAATAGACTTCAGGAAAAGGAATATCATCAAGCCTCAAGAAGGTCATTTCATAATAATAACAAGGTCAATTCACCAAGGGGACACAACAATCTTAAAAATACAGACACTTAATAACAGAGCTTCAAAATACGTGAAACAAAAACTGATGGATTGGAAGGAGAAATATTCAAATTTGCATTTATAGTTGGAGATTTCAATACTTCTCTCTCAGTATTTGATTAAAAAGTCAATAGAAAACGAGTAAAGATCTAGAGAGCTTAACAACACTATCGGCCAGCTTGACCTGATAGGAGCCCACGCTCCATAACGGCAGCGTCCACATTTTCTCAAGCGCACATGGAACATCAGCTAATATAGACCACATGCTGGGCCATAAAAAAAACTCAGTACATTTAGAAGGACTTAAATCATACAGAGTGTGTCCTCTGCTCAAAATGGAATTAAAATAAAAAGCAATAATGAAATGATATCTGAAAATCTTCCAATATTTGGAAGTTAAACACACTTTTGAATAACTCATGGGTCAAAAAGGAATCACAAAGAAAGAAAACGCAGCACAGTTTCTCACATGCACAGATTTCAGTTGCCGTAAATAATGCCAGTCCCTGACCAGCAAGGTTCAAATGCCAGTTACCACATTTCAGTTCCACAGCATATTAAATAACCATCAGTAATTACATAAGGTATAAACTTCATTGCTAGCTCATCAGCCCATGAATCACCATGTAAATAACAGGTGAGCACCGTGATCAGACCAATCGCATACTTCTTCCAAAATCTGTTGGTGATCTGTTGCTACGCATCTATTATTCAGTCCACACACCTATGACAAAGCTGTTTCCTCCTTCTCGCCCACTGATAAACCATGTGACATTTTACAAAAATGAGTGACCCAAAGAAGGGGCTGGCCAACAGAAAGTGCTTCAAACAAACGAGAGGCGATCCTGTTGGAAGTGCAATCTGAGTCAAATGAATTGGAAATATAAAAGAAATAGCTAGTGTGGGAATGTTAATTTTGGCACTGTTTGAGAGACTGGATTCACAGTCACAGGAGCATAGTGAATGAAGGTGACATAAATGAGGAAAGTGCTGATAATGAAAAGAATAAAGGTGTCCCAGAGGAAGTGACTCTGGCAAAAACTTTACATTAAATATCTCAGATATTTCACACCACTGAATGTGCAAAGGATAAAATGTTGGAAGCTAACCCAACCTTAGAAAGTTCTGAACATGACAATTCACAGAGGCCTGGAAAAGGCGCTCACTCCATTTGACAAATTACACAAAGAGGAGGCAGCCAGCTCCGTTCACACTACTGCCGGAAAGTTTCTGTCGATTGTGGTAGCAATTTCATAATATGAAATTTACCCTTGTAACATTTGTAAGTGCACAGTTCAGTGGCATTAAGCACACTCACATTGTTGTGCAACCATCACCACCGTCCATCTCCAGAACTTTTTCATTTCCCCAAAGTGAAACTCTGTATCCATTCCCTAAGTTTTTTACAAAAAGGCAAAACACTTAATTCTCAAAGTGTTTATTAGAAACACTTTTATATTTCTAATGTTTTAAATTACAATATACTAAATAAATATTAGTTTCGCTTTTTTTTCATTTTCCTATACAATTATAGCAGGCAGAGTTTTTAATGTCATGAGAAAAAATTTTAAATGTCGTGGAACAGTTGTAATTTTTCCATTGATTATTAAGATAGCTTTGCATGATTCCAACTTGCACAGTCATTTTTATGGTCCTTCATGACTGTCTAATGCAAGGAGTGCCTGTATTTGTGAGTTAAAGAGGCCCTTAAGGGAAAATTTGTAGTTTTATATGCTTACATTAGAAAATAAGAAAATTCTCGCCACCTGTACATGTATTGAATCATCACCTTGCACGCCTTAAACTTGCAACAGTACATGTCAATAATATCTCAGAAAAGCTGGGGGAAAAAAGAAAATGAGAAAATTCTCAAGTTCAATTGCTAAACTTTCACCTTAAGAGCTAGAAAAAGAAGAGCAAATTGAACCCAAAGCAATTAGAAGAAAGGAAATCATAAAGAGCAGAAATTAATGCAACGGAAAAGGCATAAACAACAGAGAAAAATCAGTGAACTCAAATGACCCATCAATGTTATTCCTTTGTATTTATCTAAAAAATAATGAAAACTATGTCCACACAAAGTGAGCTTTATTCATAACAGCTCCAAGCTAAAAACAACACAAATGCTTATTAGGGGTGAATGGATAAATAATTGTGGTATATCCATTCAATGAAATACTACTTTGCAATAAAAAGGAATGAATGACTAATTTATGCAGCAACATGGATCTTAACATTTTGGGGAAAGCATCACGCTCTGTAAAAGGAGCCAGACACAATGAGGTCCACACTGTATAATTCTGTTAATGTGAAAATCCGAAACGGGCAAATCCTCTCTACACTGGCTGAAAGTAGATCAGTGGTTGCTGGTGCCTGGGGTGAGGGTGGGGAGATGGACCATGAGGGAGAGTGGAAAAATGTTAGGGTGATGGAAACGGTCTATATCCCAATAGTGGTGGTTACTCAGATGTCTACATTTGTCAAAACTCACCAGGTTTAGCATGTTCATTTTACTGTAAATAAAATACATAATAACCATGAGGAACACCAAGCTGAGTCTGCAGGATGTGTTCACGTAACTCTGTTTCTCGTGAGCCAGGAGAGCTGCTGGTGGAGAGGGGAGGTGGCGCTTCACAAGGATGCACGTTTGTGCTTGTGGTGTGTGCGTGTGTGCGGGTGTGTGTGTGTGTGTGGTGATGGTGGTGGAAGGTGGGTGGCTCCTTTCTCACCATTCCGCTGCACTCTGCCCCAAAGGAAGCACCCTCCTTCGCTTTGCTTTCACTCTCTCTTCTAAGTGCTTGTTTCCAGCAGGCAGAACCTTCATCGTATTTGCA